CCACAGCAGCCAATTCATTTACCTTGTCCAAAAGGAAAAAAGCAAATGGCAAGAAAATGTAGGAAAGATAATTAACTCATTTCCTTCTGAGTCAAACACACTACAAGACTTATTTGATAAAAGAAGGAAGAATTTGAACCCATGGATTCCTGAGGAGCTCTTCAAAGCTGCACACTAGCCAGCTGCAAGAGCAAAACAAAACTTTCACCTCCCTTGTTAGATAGTGGGCTGTTTCAAAGTAGTCCAGAAGTACCAACAACTAAGGTCACAAGAGAAAATGATGCACAGTTTGGCTTGATTTTGACAAAAGTAATGAAATTTTTCCTTTGTCCTAAGGAAGTGGCAAGCAATGACAAAAAGTGAAGTGAAAGCTCTGCTGACAAAGCTCCTGGCTGTGCACGGTGGCTTCTCATAGCTCTATAGGGACAAAATAACCAGGAGAGATCAAACCTTGAGGAGACGAGGTGGGAGAAGCAGGTAGGAGCATCCAGCAGTGGAATGAAGCCTGTGGCAGCAGTGCATACATTCACTGTGTCTTTAAAATTACATCATTTCAGCAAGCAGGGATGACACACACAAAACATGGTGTTACCTGAGGTCCCTATGGCAGCCTAAAGATTGAGCTCTTGCCAAGACAGATTATGTGATACTGGCTCCTGTCTGGGACACTTAAAGGGGAACAACAACAAGCTGGCATTTAGGGCAGCCAGAATCCTTCAAAACCTTCTGGAAACCTCACACGAGCCCTAGTAACGTAGGTAACATGTTGCAAGTGAGAGGCAACATAATTTTAAGGAAACAGAATTAGCAGTTACTAAACTTAACATTCCAGAATTGCCCTCCCTTTTTCCTCTCTTAAAAGGAGGGTGCAACAGGTAACAAATTAATATGCATCCACTTCAGTGGCTATGTGAACCATTCAGACCATTATCCACGCACATGAAACCCTTAAACCCAAAAAGACACAAGAAAAGCCACTGGATGCACCTACAAAGGAGCTTATGAATCTCATTCACTACCCAAAGCATTTGGGTTGCATTTTGCAACCAAAAAAGCATTTTGCAGAGCCTCGGAAGGTCAAGAACTTGCCCCCCAAATTAGCAGAGCCATGAACTATTTTGAACTAATAAATTATCAGGCTTACAGGTGGAACAGTAGATAAAAATAAAAAACTACCTGTAAGGTCCTTGCAACGGCATTAGCTCCTGGACACGGGGAATCAACTCTGCAGCTAGATGGGAAGCAAGGGACACCAGAGGGAAATCAAACTCCTCTCTACCCTGTTCCAAGTGAGGATGTCAATCACCCCAGCGCAGGGGCGGTGCAGCCAAAAGCCTTTCAGGAGGAAACTGCTGCCAGGCTTTGGCTACACAAACTGTCACTGAGACTGAGTGGCTGCTCCTCTGGATGCAGAGATTATCACAGACCCTAAAAACTGGCTGGGGAACCAAGATAAAAACAAACAGAAGGGGAATACAGCAGCATGTGAAAACCTGCAGACCTGAATTTTCAACACTGGAAGTGGTATAGAAGTGGGAGAACAGTTCAAATGGCTTTCAAAATGCAGCAAGACAGCAGAGGTGCATTTAGTTTTACTGGATGTTAAGGAGAAAAATGGTTTTAACACTGAGGAAGTGTGAATCTGCAGAGTTCCTCAAGTAAGAAGCGAAGTCTACATTAATGTTTTCGGTTTATTACTACACTCAAAGCAATTGAAGAACTTGGATGAACTTAAAATCAAACAAGAGTCTCCAAGAAACAATATATAGGCATCTAAATGAATGAGCTCAAATTCAGTTAACTCATCTGACAGTTCTGCAGCCAAAGAAACAAAGGTGTTAAAAAAAAATTACATGCCAGCTCCCTGGGAATGTGATGTTATTTGTCATAAGAGGAGACTTAAGGACTTTGGCAGACGAGCACTGGTTAGTCTTCCAGGAGCACTATAAAATATTATCATCAGTTGTCCTTATTTACTCTCTCCAGGGGTGTCCCCTTGCTGTAAGTGAGAGGATGGAGCACAACATATTTATGCATCTCACCCGCCCTCGCCCTGTCTCCAGCATCTAACCTAAGGGAAGAAGAGGCTGAACTGAAAACAAAGAGGGAAGCCCACAAATAGTGGATCTCTTTGGCCAAGCTTCAGTGAAGGGCCACAGAAGAGAGCTAACCTGGATATTTTTTAAAGCTCTCCAATGAGTTTTCATCTATTTCTGTCAGAGAGACTCTGGTCCAAATCCCTCACATCATCATCTCTTTCACCTACTCAAGTGTTTGGTCAGTCCCCCCTCACTTTCCTTTCCCTGCCCCTGCTTTCTTCCACCCATTCAACAAACCAAACACAAAACCTTCACCTACAGAGTTGTTTCAGGGCTAAAAGGAAATTCACAGCCTGCTTTAAGCCCGCTGCTCAACAGAGGCCACAATTAAAGGCCAAGCTTACACCTAAGACCCACCTGTCTATAAAACTAAATGGGAGAATGGGAGCTAGCCCTAACACCAACCACCATCCCTTCCCAGTTCCCATCCTTTGTCCACTTTCCTTCTCAAGTAAAACAGTCCTATAGCCCCTTTGACAGTAGAAAGCAGGAGAAAAACAGGATGACTTTTTACCACTTATGTCCTGTCATCATTTCCCTGTGTCAGAGAATCCCTGGTTCAACATATGATAAAGTCCAACTGTTGGTCTGGACAGTAGAAATAAGTGAGGACATAAAATACATTGTCATTAGTGATTTTTCTGTCCTACCAGTCTCTACACCTCCATACAAAGCAAGGAACCACATTTTTCTGGTAGCCTGTGCTAACCATACAGAAAAGAGAGTCGCACAGACACAAAATGATCTCAGCTTCCCTAACGAAAGTGAATGGTCACATCTCGTGTATGTCAGTGAGACTTAGTTAACTGACTTCCTCATGAACTCGCTTCCAGGACAATCCTGTCTCAACAGTTTCTTACTGACTTAATCCTGAACAGCTATACTACAAACAGAACTACTTTTGGCAGGTGGGTAGTTTTAAAAAAAAGAAGAACATGAAGTGTTTTCCCATTAAAGCAAATAAGAGGCATCTACCTACCAGAACAGCCCGTGACCTCGTACCTATGACTGAGATGCCAAGTTCCGAACCCCCTTTTCAGGCCAGTCCATGGGGGAAGGCGCAAACCTGATCAGAGGGCCCCGCTCTGCTCCCTCCTGTGCTGGTACACACGGGGCTCCCGTTTCCTTCAGCTGGATGGCTGCCAACTGTGACCCCCACAGCCCAACCTCCTTTTTTCCCCGTTACAGAGTGACTTTTGTTGACGTCTTTGCGATGGGGCCATCGCTTCCAACGCAAGCTCTGCCACGGACGTTAAATTCTTGGCGCATCTTGCTGGGGCTGACTCAACAGGAGCGAGCTGGTCCGAATTTCGGGAGTTGCAAAAGGAAAAGGAAAAGTAAACACAGGGCGCTACAGGGACTGCGGGCAGTGCAAGGCCAGCAAGTCACTTCAAGTATTACTGGATCTGGAATATTAATTCTCAGGCTCGATTTTTCCTGCTCTCAAAGGCCTGGGAAGTGGCCTGCGCACATGGGACGGGAGCGGAGAGGCCACTATCGGCCAGCTCGTGTTTTTGAGGCACGTGAAAGACGATCTCCAGCCCTGGAACGGAGAGCGGCGAGCGAGAAAAACAGAGCAGCTGCCTCAGCTGCCGCCCGGCACAACATGTCTGCCCCTCGGCGCGCCGAGTCACCGGCCGGGCCCGCGGGGAGCCAACGGGGACACGTCGCGGCCGTCACCGGCCCTCCCCGCGGGCCGGTGCCCGGAGACAAAGCGCTGCCCGGGGCCGCGGCCTAGCGGCGCACGGAGGGCGCGGGGCCCGGCCAGGCCCCGGGGCCCGGCCAGGCCTCACCCCCCCGCGCCGCGCCATGACTCGACACTCGGCGGGGAGGCCCCGGCGCGGAGGCCCCCGCGGGGAGCGGCCCACCCCCCGCCGCGGCGCGGCCCCGCCTCCCCGGGGCCTGCATGACACAGCGGGATCGGCGCGGCGCCGGGGCACGCGCGGAGGCCCAGCGGGGCCCAGCGCCGCCGCGGCCCAAGCCTAGGCCCAGGCCGCGGCCTGCAGCGCGGCGGGCGGCCGCGCGGGCCGCACTTACTCGGATGCCGAGGCCATGGCGCGGGGGGGCGGGGGCGAGGGGAGGCGGCGGCGGCTCCTCGGGGCGGGCGGCGGCGGCGGGGCTCGGCGCGGGCTCGCGGCGGCGGCAGCGGCGGGCGCTTCGCGCTGACTGGGACCTCAGCGCCGACTCATCGGAAGGGAGGGAGCTCCGCCCGGCGCGCGGCGAAGCCTGCCTAGCAACAGCGTGCGCCGGCCAATGGGAAAATCTGCCTGGCGGGCGGCTCAGCCAATCGGGAGGCAGAAGCGGGGGAGAAAGCGAGGCGGGGGAAGCGCTTTCCCTCCGCCCCTCTTCTTTTACCCACCCAATCGTCACGAGCCAAGCGCAAATCTCAGGAGCCAATCACAGTGCCTCCTCCGTGGATTGGTTCTACCCGGCAACACGGCACAGGCGGCCAATGGCAAAAATCGACCAATGGGAAAATTGAACGAAAGGCCCGCCCCGCGGCCCGTCTAACGTCGCCTACCCATTGGCTTATGCCTGATGAAAGGGACAGGCACAGCGCAGCCAATGGGAAGGCGGGAGGGCGGCTGATTGACGGCTCGGGGAGCGCCACCAGTGCGTTGAGCGCGGCAGGGCTCAGGCGCGGGGCGGGCGCCCGCGTGGCCGGGACCGGCCGGGCCGGGGCACGAGCGGGGAACGTGCTCTGAGCAAGCGGGAAGCGCCAGGGGCGCCAGGAGCAGCTTTACAGGCCCCTTGGAGGCTCCCAGCCCCTGTGTCTCCCTCCAGTTACATCGAAGGGGGAAGACAGAGGCAACCAACGCTGACCCTCGCTCCCTTGTTCCCCAGGGCTCAACTCGTGCTCGAGCCCTCGTGCCCTCCCTCCTACCCTTCCTTTTAAACTCCAGGAAGGACGTAGAGCAGGACCAAAGAAGAACAACTATGAGAGGGGCCCCGCCACGAACCCAGCGCAGTCCAACTTGTGCCACGCATGCGGGTGACGCGCGCGGCGCCCAGGCCACGCCACGCTCCAGGACCTCTCCCACTCTTTTTCCAAGTTGTTCCTAGTTCACTCTTCTCCCGCCGCTGTTCCTACGGCGCAGTTCTCAGTCACTCCTTCCTTCTTGCGGGAGGCGCAGCCTGCCAAAGCCTTGGGTGACGGGAGGTGAGGGACGCTCCTGTCTCCAGAGGGGCTGCAGCAGCCGCTGGCCGGGAGCAGGAGCCTCTTCACCACAGCCTGCTGCCAGTGGAGGGCTCAGGGAGGTCTGTGCAGTGGACACGGCTGCTCCAGAACAGATCCCGAGCCCACTGCCTCCCATCGCTTACGGTTGGCAGCGCAGGACCTCAGTGCTCTGAGCTTCATCCGAACCATTCCCAGGCTCCAGCAGACAGCAACGACGTGGAACGCCAAGGTAGAAACACAGGCAGGAGCGATGCTTGGACACCTCTCCGCTTCATCCATGCATTTCTCTGCTGCAGCTCCCTGGAGCAGGGAACGCAGGGCTGGCCTCCATCGCCAGAGCTGCGGAGCCTGTGGTGACTTCAGAAGGGCAGGGAATGTTTCGTGCAGAGGCCCTGGGACCGCGGGCTCCCTGCTCACCCCACAGGCTCACAGCAGCTCCAGGCAGAGTCAAGGCCACTGTCTCCGCTGCAGTGCTTTGTTGTGAATCACTCCAGGAAAAAGGTCATAGAAAAACTCATAAATTAGATCTGAGGCTTTTATTAGCAACTTTTAAAGCAACTTTCTTCTGTTTCAGTCCTTTGGGAACTGAACTTGATCCAAGAGGAATTCGGAGTCTTGGAGAAGCCTTTAAGGCTTCAGCATGTATGTGGTGCTTGGGTTAGCTGTTGGTGGACTGGAGATAATCCTGTAGGTCTCTTGCAAGAGATTCGTTCTGTGGGAAGGTGGCCTGCTTCAGACACGACACCAAGTACAAAGGGCAGGGCCTGAAAGAAGAAGGGCATTGCAGCAGGAAGGACCGTCCCTTCGCCTGTCCCACAGTTCATTCCTTTTTCATTGCACGGTCCTCAGCTCTGCCCCCAGCCTTTGCTCTCCCGTTTGCTATTGCAGAGTCAGGCTGACTTTGGCCCTCGGGCAGTTCCCGTGTGCCCCAGTGAGCCCTGCAGAGCCACAGCCTGCAGGGCTACAGCCACAGCCTGGCTAAGCCCCAAATATGGGAGCAGAAACAGCGGGAGGGGAAGCTCCTCCGACACAGCTGTGTCCAGGCTGCGGGGGCTGCGCTAGATAAACCATCCAAACACTTTAAAACACAAGCCAAGGGCCATGGGGCCAGCAGCGATTCCACCCGCCTCGCCACTCACCTTCCCAGCCCTTCCTGCTGCCCAGCTTCCTCAGCCGGGCTCTCCGAGAGCTTCTGCCAGCGTGCAGCAGCCTCCTGCTTTCGGTCCAGCTTCCACAGGGCCTGCACCAGGTAGGAGGCAGCAGCAGGGTCACCTGCAAGACACGAGGGGCAAGTTCAGCCCTGAGCAGGGCAGCAGCAGTCTCACAGTGCTGCTGGGCATTGCAGGCTGTCGTAAGGGAAGCACAGAAGCCAGGTGAGGGAGCCGAGCATGACGACCAGGTCCTGGGGAGGAAACCTTCCTGGCTACGTCACAGGCTCCAATTAACCCGGCCTAGCAGCCCAGATACAGACTGTTGGTGCTACTGCAGCATCCAACAGGTAACACTGGCTCAGGCACCAGGGCTTCATTCCGGAAAGAAGTGGCAGCTCCAGCCATTTCTTATCCATCCTCAAGTGCAGCTCTGTGTTCCGCTCCCCTCCCTCCCCACACGCCTCAGCCGCCAGGCTGCCAGGCAAGGATGCGCAGCTTCCTAGGACGAAGCGAGATTCCAGCTATCCAGCTCCTGCAGGAGTCTTTGTCATTTGAGTGTAAGGTCTAAAACTTGAGACCTTTCTACTGAAAATAGCAAAGCAGCCCTGGGCGGGGGGGAAGGGAAAAAGAAACAACAAACAAAACACAACTTGTGGCTGTCCTCTCTGATCCTCCTAAAAGGAAGTGTCTTACCTGGTGAGATCTGCAGGCCGTACTGGAAATCCAGCAGGGCTTCCTTGAGCTTCCCCAGCTCCAGGAACTGGGCACCTCGCCCAATGAGGGACAGCAACCGGATCTTCTGGAGCAGCTTCACTTCTGGTAGGAGACTCCCTAGCACAGAAAGGCAAAGACACGCCTGGAGGTGGCATCCTCTGACGGTCCCTGACCCACCCCAGCAAGGCGAAGGCAGCTTAGCAGTCAGGATGAGCCAAACAGTTGCCTGGCCTGGTTCATCTTCCAAGCACCCTGCTCCTCCATGACCCACCAGTGCCCGAACTCAGCCTCTTTGCTGGTTGCCAGGCACATCCCAAAATGATGGAAACAACTCTGTGAGAGACTGTCCAGGAACAAGGGACCTTCTAGGAGAGGGCAGGCCAGGAGGTGGCAGAGGGTGAGAACAAAGAGCAGTGTCAGGCTGGCCTTGCTTGGCTGCCCATCTGCAGCAGGGAGGGAAAGGCCAAGCTGTGCCCGCCCTAAGGCACCGGTGCTCATGGTGTCCACAGCACCACTAAAGCAAGAAATAAATTTGCCAAGAAAGACCAAGACGAGAAATCCCTAAAACACCAGGATTGGCTTAAATCTATTCTCTGGATCCTGGATTCAAGAAGCTTCCCAGTTCACAGCCCACTTAGCTGCCATGCAGTACATGGGAACAAGGCAGGGCTAAGGTCAATCTTGCTCTTACTAAACCAGCGAGTCCCTTCAGAGACTCCAGTGGGTCCTGGAGCTCAGCACACTGTGACAGGCACCCCCTGCCAGAGGTGATGCTGGGCCTGGAGCCTTGCTCCTGTTCCCACCAATGCCCAAATCCCCGGATCCAGGCAGAGCCAGGCCCTGGCATACCTGCTGTTTCAACACCAGGCTGGTAAAGCTGGACTCGTAAGAGGTCACTAAGGCACCTGAGGGAGGGAGCACAGAGGAACTTCATTGCTGTCTGCTGCGAGCAGTCACACCAGCGGCCACACCAAGCTGGCACCCAGATCTTCACGACCTGCTGAACTGCGTCACGGCCTCCTTGGTCTCGTCCAGCTGGGCCCAGGCCCAGCCCTGGTGCAGATAGGCAGCTGTTCTCCACACGAGGCAACGCAGACTCTCCCTCTTCTGGGAGAGGGGACCAGCAGCTAGCTGTGGCTCTGGCGACGGGCACTCCGGCTGCTCCAGCCTCTCCTCCACTCGCAGTGTCTGTGGGATGAGGCTGGCTGTCCGGCCCACGACCTCCTCACACACGGTTATGGCGTCCTGAGGCCTCCCCGCCTGCTGCAGGGCGGACGCGGCCTCCAGGAGCACCTCGGGTAGCCTGGGCAGAGCTGATCCTGCATCCAGGGGGACCTGGTGTGGAAAAGTGCTCGGGCACAGAGCTGCACAGCTCCCAGTGCAGCAGGGCAGCCCCACGCTTGCTGGGCACGCATGGTTGGCACTCAGCAAAGCTCAGACCCACCCTGCTGTAAACTGGAGTCTGCTGGAGGCAGAAGCCGTGCAGCAGCAAAGACTCAGCAGGGCCAGGGAGCAAAAGCCTAGTCCTGAAGTGAAGGACAAGCCAAATCAGGCCAACAGCTACTTCAGAAGATAAGGGGAAACTGTTCCTCTGGCAGTGCCCACCCCAAGGCAGATGTGCCACAAGCCAGAGGTGCCAGCTCACAGCTCTCTCTGCCTCCGTGGAGCTCCCAATCCATTTCCTTCATGTCCCAAGCTACACAGCAAAACTGGGAGTGCAGGTATGAAGTCTGGTACCAGTCCTTTAAGTAGGGATCCAAACCTTATCTTCCAAGGCACCAAGTGAGCTCTTCAAGACACCCACCTGCTGCTGCAGCCCATCCTGAAGCAGCGACAGAAAATCCAGGTAATGTTCCACAGCATCAGCCATCCTGCAACAGGGACAGGACACGTGGAAGGAGCAGGGGACCCCACGAAGCGCCAGCAGCCAACTGGAACCCGAATCACCAGCCTGCAGGCCCTCCCCACCCTGCACTTGCTCTGTCTGTGCTCCCTGTGACTAACAGCCCTGTAACAGCAATACTGAAGTGGGGCACAAAGAAAAGTGCAGATCACAAAGGAGCAGCTTGTTGTGAGAAGACAAGAGGCAGCTCTGTTACCTCCCATCCTCGAGACACCTCTGTGCCAGCAGGTACTTCACTTCGGACAAGTGTCGGTGGCGGAGGAGAGCAGACAGAGCAGGCGTGTGGACAAGCTGCTCTGTCTGGATTAGACAACAGGGAGGAGGGGAAGCAGCTGCTGGAGGGTTTCTTTCCAGAGCCTGAAAAACAGGAACAGAAACAGGGAATAGATGCAGATCTCGCTTACTAGGGCACAGCCACCTCCAGGAAGAGCAACCAAGAGCAGAGACAGACAGAGCTCTGCTCTCCACACGGGAACAGGAAATCTCTGATGCCATCCAGAGCACACAGAACCTCAGGCTTTCAGTCCAAGGTGCTCTGTGCTGCCTGGAACAGCATCTCTCATCACAGCCACAAACCTGCTTAGACCAGCACTTGTGCTGTTAGCACCGACAGAGATCCCTCCTGGCCGTGCTGGCGTTAGGGAGTTTCGAAAGGCAGATGATTCAACGTGGTGTTTACTGCTCCTGCCAGGTGCAGCAGGGCTGCAGCAGCAAACACACACCCTCTCACAGACACCTTGTGTCCTTTAAAGGCCCCTTTACTAAACGCTTCAAGAGGCTGATGTTCTCCACCACCAAAGCGCACGCGCTGCTCGCAAGCCATCAAGAACATGAGCTGCAACCCAGCAGTGTTGCCTCAGCAAACAGCCAGGTGCTACGCAGGGCGTCCTGACCAAGTTCAAACGACCCCGAAGCCGCCCCTCTGCAAAAGTGGAGGCAGCAGACAAACCTCACAGAGCAGAGCCAGGGCCTGCAGCTCCGCATCCACCTCCCCCAGCTCGCGGTACAGCGCTGCGGCGCGGGACAGGGCGGGAAGGCACTGGAAGTCCACCTGGAGGGCCCGCTTGAGGTGCTGAAGGGCTGTCTGCGGCTTGCCCTAGGGAAACGGCAAGAGTTGCATGTCGCAGAGACGTCTTGCTGACATCTTGGCTGTTTGCTGGCCAATTGCTCAGGCTGTTTCTCCTCTCCTTGGCGGCAGCGGAGAGGCCTGGCCGTTACCATTCGCTGAGTGCAGCAGCTGAGGCAGGTGTAGATCTGAGCCAGGAGCCTCTTGGAGCAGAATCCACCTGCAGCCTCTTGGAGGAGGGAGAGGGCAGCAGGAAGGTTCCCAGCCTCCAGCTCTTGGAGCCCTACGAGAGACCCAACACACAGCCTGGCCTACAAACCAGTCTAGGCAGACCCCAGCCCCGCTGCAAACCCCACAAAGGGAGCGGGCCCTGAGCTCAGCCCACACAGTGCCCAATCCACCCTTTTCTTCCCACTTTTCTAGGAGCCCCTCCACATCCAGCAAGATGAGGAGGATCTGTAAGTGTCTAACAGGAAGAAGGGCGACCTCCGAGGCCTGGATCCCAAATGCCAACCTCTGCCCTGGCGGAGAGCTCAGGAAGGTGCTAAGCAGGTCCCAGCACACCTACATGCTCAGCAGCAGGAGCACAAGTGAGAAAGCACAGACAGAAACATGGAAAAAAGACTCCACCACATCCAGGCCATTACTCAGCAGGATGCTGTGGGATATTAATTCATGAATATTTATTGTAAACACTATTTGCTTCTCTTTCAATCTGTATTTTAAGCTTCTATTTGAAAACACTCTCACATGCCTAAGTCCTGTCTACATTCACACATGCTGCCTGCTCGTGAAAGTGTTATTGCCACCCTAGAAGGTTTTGAGAGGTCTGTGCACGAGAAACTCCAACTTTCCCTCCCCAAAGGAAGCCCCATGACCAGTGTGAGCAGAACGAGGCAGCAATGGCTGCCCCAGGAGCTGCAGGTACAGCAAGACAGCAAGCAAGAAAAGTACAGGTGACAGAGAGAATGCAACAACTGGAGATGAGACAACCACTGCTGCCCCACAGGGCTGCGAGGCTGCACAGCAGCTCTGCTTGGCTCCCACAGCACTGTCACCCAGCAGGAGCTGCACATCTGCAACGAGGCAGGCACCAGAAGACAGACAGAAGAAAGAAAAATCCTCAGAACCCCCCCATCAGCCTTCCAGTTCTAGCAGGATTCAGAGAGGTGGAATAAGCCCTGTGGCAAAGCAGAGGCTCAGCGAGGCAAAAAGCAGAGAAGCTCTTTGGAGATGCAAGGCTGAGGCCCACACACACCCAAAGGCTCAGCCTGGCTGATTTTGCAAGGAAATCCCGAGCTTGGGAAGAACAACCGGGATAGTGGCAGTGAGAGGGAGCCCAGGGGCGGGAGGAAGGATGGGTCCCCTCCACACAAACCCTGCAGGAAGGCAGCCGCAGTGCACAGAACCTCCTTCAAGTCTTGGGCGCTCTGTACCAGGGACAGAGAGGCCTCCTCGGCAGGTACTTTCCATGCCCTGAGCAGGGAGAGGAGCTGGGTCTTCCCTTCGCTGCAGGGAGCCCTCCCTGGGTGCTGCAAACACAGAGAGAGAGAGAGAGAGAGGGAACATCAGTGCCGGGCCAGGAGGAAGCAGAGGGGCAGGGAAGGTCTCTGCACACATGCTGGGGAGCTATATCCTACTGCCCCCCCTCACCCTAACTACAACCTGCTTGGGGCAATAATTCCTTCCTCTTAGCGGGCAGCAGCTCCCACCTGACAGCGAGGGGCACCTTGGGACCCCTAGCAGAGCTGTCCCCAGGGAAGCTGGTCCTGCTGACGGGCAGCAAAGGTTGCTCTAAGTCCTGCCGTCCACAACTAGCTCCCTGCAGAGGCTGTGGCCCTTCCAGCCCCGCTTCCTCACTGGTGCCTAGCGGCCAATGGCCCTGGCAGCAGGAGCTATTCTGGGACCTGCCAGGCTGAGTGGGGCTGCCAGGGCGGGATCACTCACGCTGGATGGGAAGCACCAAGGGGTCCAAGTCTCAAAACCTCCTCCAAAATGCTGCTGTGGCATTTGATGACAAATGTGGTATTTCGGCGAGCTCTGTGTCCTTTACCAAGCCTGCAGGTGGTTATTTTGGTCTGCACAGGTATTGCTGGGGTGCACATTGAGACTGCTTGGAACCCCTCAGTGACAAGAGGACAGCTAAAATAATGGCCCCTCAGTCACAGGCCAGATGAGTCTCCTGACATTAACAAGCAATTCAGACACTGTCCCTTCAAGGCAGAGGGCACAAGACACCCAATTTGGCTCGGTGCTAAACGTCAAGCCACCCAGAAAAGCACCAAGCACCAGCTATGGAGCAGATCAAGGTGCAAAACCAGCAGGAGGGGAGGAAGAGCTGACTTCAGGCTCCCCCTAAGGCGAAGGAAAGTCACATCCCGCAGCTGCCTGCTCACCTCAGCACTGCTCAGGAGTCGGAAGAGGCCGGTGACGCTTCCCAGGCGGTTGGTCGCCAGCCACCAGGCTGCTTGCAGGGCAGCCAGGCGGTGCAAAGGCGCCTGCAGCTCTTCAACAGTCACTTCCTGCAGCACCTTCTGCCACAGCTTCTCAGTGCTGAGATCCTGCCCAGCGGCCCCGCAGGCCTCCAGGACTGGAAAAGAAACAATGATGAGGCAGCAGGACTCTGCCCGGGAACAGACATCTTCCTAAGAGCAGGAGGAAGCCTCAAGCAAACAGAGGTTCTTCCTAGTGAGGGATGGGAGAGGGTTTCAGGGCTTACCCAGTCTCAGCTGCCTATGGGAGCTGCTACAGTTAGTACATCAGCCCACATGAACAACACCAGACAGTGTTGTTGCAGTGGCGTTGCAGACAACACCGCTCACAGCCATCACCGACAGCCCTCCTGTCACTGGCACCCTCCTAAGGCCACCAGCCCAAGGGCGGGCAAGCAAGCACGAACACTGCAGGGCTGACTCACAGCCACGTTCAGTGAGTTTCCTTTGAACACAGCACACCGTAATTAACAAAACTTTGTTGGAAGTTTGGTGTTTTATGCCTTGATAACTAATTTCTGTCATTTAAAACTTTCGCTCACCCCCATGGGCTGCAGCATGCACGTGTCATCCATGTCCTCAGGCTACTCCATGCTCCTGCCATTCCCTACAGAGTCTAAATTCCCTACAGAGCCAGCCCTTGTTTTTCACAGTCTCCCCTGGCCGGTCACTTGACATATTCAAAGCAGGGAGAACGTCCTCCTCACCTCTGAGCAGCCCCTGTCGTATTTCTTCTGCTTCTCCATTGATGGCACAGTCAGATGCTCCCATAGCAAAAACCAGGGAGTTATAGAGGACGGTGAGCTCCAGGGGCAAGGTGGCGAGGGCAGCTGGCAGTCCTGTAAGCGACACCAACACGGGAATGGACTGAGCTAGGGGCACGGCTAGAGAACACCCCACAAAACCACCAGGCTAAGGCTCCATCGCTGTGTTCTGTGACAACAGAATATCAAGGTTTTTGTTGAGGTGGTGGTGAGGGTTTAGCTCAGGGGCTGCACTACAGAGTGGGCACAGACATCACTTCTCCAGAGGCTGATGCTATTGATCCTATCCCGAGTATCCTTTGTGTCCTCCCACCTGCCCTGCTCTCTACATCCTGCAGTTCTCCAGGCGCCAGAGCTCTTTTCCGACAGGGCGCCAGCAGTCTGTGCTCTCCCCACTACAGGTCTATCCTTCTCCAGACATTTCCCACGCTTTGCCTGCCCGAGCACAGCCGTAGCACAACCCCGGTACTGAGCAGCTCTGCCCTACTATTTGATGGCTCCATAAAGCCTCTTTCTCCAGTCCACTTCCCCTGTTACTTTTGCAGGGGGGAAGCCCCTTCCCGGCCTTTTTCTCAGTGCAACAAGGTGGCAAGCAGCCCCCTGAGGGGGGGCTCAGGGGGCTGCTTGGGGGGGAAGCAGCCTCCTTCCTTCCAGACACCCCGAGCTCAGGCACGAGCCGCGGCAGAGGCCCGAGGCCGGGCCCCCAAGGCGGCGGAGGGCGGGCGGACCCCGGGGCCGCCGCTCACCGCGCATCCTCCGCAGCAGCT